GATGAAGTGTCTCCATAATTTTTCCAATCTATTTTTCAAAGTTCATTTTTAGAGCTACTTCGTAAGTGAATCTGATCGGTCCCGTTTTTATTTTATTCCAATACGTTCCTAGTGGAACATAGGGTGGCTTCAAGCTAGAGACTTGAAGTTTCGGTAGCAATGGTACTTATTTTTACGGGATAGGGTTGCTAGCCTCATGCCCAATCTTCCCTCTTTACCAGGCTTATTACTGGCTTGGCGAGGTAAAGGAGTGCGTCGGTGGCCGGGGATCGAACACCGGACCTCATGCATGGTTGGCGAGCATTCTACTGCTGTGCTACCGACACACTTGATTGACCCTATTAACCATACCAATTATATATATATATATATATATATATATATATATATATATATATATATATATATATATATATATATATATATATAGGTCACGTTAAACTTGAAGCACCACTAACTACCAATGGAGTGCGACCGCACCAATGACCTTGAAACTCTCGCTGAGCAAGTTAATGAAACCTGAAAAATAATGTCGTTATCATCAATTAGACATGCTCATCGAAGTATTAGATTATTAAATGGGATATCTGGGAAGTTTCAGCTTAGGAGGTATGGGAAAGATTAAGTTATGGTTTAGGCCAAGGACAAGTTAGAGTTAGGTTAACCTACTAATGACATTAAGGTTAGTTCAAGTTAGATTAGGGTTAGTCTAAGCATATATTCACGTTAGGGCTAGTTTTAGGAAAGATTAGGCTTATTGTTAGGGTTAGAAGACCCAAATAATTACATGCATAGAATGCAGTTAAATTACTCTGTTGATATAAGAATAGAACTTATGCACTGTGGTAGAGTATAATTCCAATGTGGGTAGCATTTATTTTGATAAAGTTTCACAGTGTTTTACAGTCATATTTACTTATGACATTTCGAGCACAGTTTATTGACCAGTAAATGTTACTGCACAACACTGTGAGACTTTATAAAAATAAATTTTGCCCACAATGCAATTATACTCTGTTGATACTTCGATCTAAAACTGAGAGCTACTTTTGTCAACTGTGAGAGAAAGATATCCTCTGTAACACTCGTTAACTCTTGCATCCTACCTATGTGCGTCGGTAGCACAGCGGTTATGACTCTCGCCGATCATACACATGGTCCGGGGTCGATCCCCTGCCGACGCACACCCGATATCTATGGTCGGCCTGCAAAATTTGGGCTACCGATATCACATGCTGAAAATTCCATACCTGTACCAAAAAATTTGATGTGGAATCAAGCTATAATCAAAAAAATATATTATTCCTCCTTAGTTTTTCCAGGGCTACTGAAGAAGGATTATATCTTATTACGTAGGGTGTTAAAGATTGTCAGCAGGGTAAGCAATGTGCCACTTAACCAGCTTGTTAATATTCTGGTCGACAGGTACTTGGACTCATGTGAAACACGGGCTAAATCCATTCTATCTAACTCACACCACCCTCTCCATTCACAACTCTCCTTTTGCATCTCATCAGGCAGAACCAGAAGCCTATATAGAAAACTATATGCTCGCACCAGCAAGTACAAAAATTCGACCATACCCTACTTAGCTTGTGTTCTGTGCGATAAAGAAAGCATTAGGCGTGAAACTTATACCTTATTAAATAGTCAGTAGAACAATTGGATCTCGTCTTTCCAACTCATATCATTTATAGGTACAACGTTTTCTTTTCTTTTTTTTTGTTATGTGCTGTTTTGTTTCTCTCTTCCTTATAAAAACCCTACTTAAAACATTCTTCTTCGTTCTTTCACACTCTGTATATCTCGACCCTTTTGTTACCACTTACGCCAGTAAATATGCTAGTATCTACTTTCCTAACACCTTCAAACATTCTGTTCAATTTTGGCTTTGCTACCTACATGCCAATATGTTGTTGTCAAAACTAACTGAGATTACCCTTAATCTGTGTTAAACTTTATTTATTGTTAATGTACTAACAGGATGCAATACTGTAGTGAAATGCTGAGAATTCCATTCTGTATCACAAGTACTGTTTTGGAATAAAGCAAATTATTATTATTATTATTGTATGCAGTTTTTATGAATTTTTTTCATAAATATATGTGTTGCATGCACACAAATGCCTCCTTCACTTGATTGGTGCGATCGAGGTCATTGGCCGATTGGTAGTTGGTGGGACTTAAAGTTTAACTTTTCCTTTGTATATACATCTGTCTGTCTCTGTCTGGATTCAAAATAGAACTTAGCACCGGAGTGCAGCAGTTCGAGTTGCTACGTTCCAAATAGCACACAAAGGTAGACAAGAAGATGAGTGAAGAGAATCAATAGAGTTTTGACAAGTTTAAGGGTGAAACAGAATGAGTAATGGTAGGAAGGAATATGAAAGATCACACAAGAGACTGAATACATCTGCGCCATTGACAACGATTTTGAGCCATACCACCTATTGTCTCCAGCCATTGATTCTTAGAGTCCCGAGGGCCCCAACCCGAGAGTCTGCATCTCCCTACCTGACTCAGTTTAACTGTCAAGGATTTCATGGATTGATGCCATGTTTTTGTTTGGCCACCACTTACGCTTTTCCAGACTGCACCTATATCAGCTAGTAATGCCCACGATATATATATATATATATATATTGTCACAAGTACAAATAATCCTAATGCACAAAACAATCTACGATTAGTCAAATGTTACATAAAGCGCGACTAGGAATAATTAAAAAAGAAGACAAGAAAATTCTGAAGTGTTATAACAAGTTACCTCGTAAAGTTTTAAAGTTTCTAGAGTTACGTAAAAAGCTCTGTTAACATAATCAAAAAAAAGTAAAAACACCATCAGAATATCCACAACCTGAGGTGGAAATATTATTAACCAGTATATTGACGAAAGCAATAACAATTGAGATGGTTGAAGCATTATTACGTTGTACCAATACAATACTATAACTTTACTCTGAAAATCATTTATAGACGTCCTTCACTCGTAATTGTTTTCCTTAGACTACATCCACTTATTTCATTTCAATATTTTCAACTAATTTACCAGGTTAGATGGTTGGAGGCACGAAGCAGAAAGCCTTAGAACTAGGCTTCGTAATTTCTTCCACTCGTCAGCAAACTCTATACGTAATCTTAAGGGAGTTCATGACCCTTCTGAGATTCAAATGTGGGTCACCCAGTGCTGCAGTCACAAACATTACTACTGAGCTATTCACACCGGTGACTGACCTCCTGTAGGACTGTGATATATACTTTGACTAGACACTAGATAGTAACTAATGTCATTATTCTGGCACTTCGTTAAGAGGTGGTCATCAGCCCAGGATGTGGCGTCGTGGGATGAAGGATATTTATGTTAGGTTAGCAACGGTAGGTGCGTCACAAACCCTTGCTTGGAGTCCAAGAGATAGCTAGAATCAGTGGCTCGAAACTTTATCAGATATGACCAAGAATCGCAGTCAAATGGCAAAAGTGCTGCAATTTCCTTCTCTCTTCCCTTTTCGACGATATTTGGCGAATGCTGTTTGAACTTGTTAAATATGAGAGTTTTCCTTCCATACGAAGTGCTTTATACGTTCTCCACTTACATTTTTACCTTTAATCTATGTTGTTTTATTATTAGTGTGTGACGCATCTCCTTAGTGTCAAATTGTACCAAGGTTTTGTGTTCAAATAAATTAATAATAAGGCCCTTCGTTAAGTGCAGACTGGATTCTATATTTCGACCCAGCCAAATGTAAGATGATGCTTCAGAACTGGACTACATTGACTCCTAGCTTAGAAATAGGGAGTGAAGTGTTTGGTGGAGCGTGTCCACAACTTCACTTATTTGGGAAGTTGCATCAGCCAGCCTCAACGGGTTGATCGTGGACGAAATCTCTGCACGGATACAGAAGGCTCGTTGGGCATTTGACAACTTACCTCATCTCTGGTGTAGACGTGATATTCAGCTGACTGTCGGCCAATGGGCGTGTGTACTGCTCAGCAGTTAGCTGTGTCCTCATCTATGGCTGTGAGCGAGACATGACCATTGAAAGTGGAAGACATGAAAAGGCTGGCTAACTGTCTTTGATCGTAGGTGTCTGCGTTTTATCTTCCGTGTTAGGTGGTATAATAAGGTGAGTAATATTGAGGTTGGAATTCGGTCGAGTGCTAGGGAAGGAGGGAAATCAATCGACGAGGTTGTAAAGTTACACCGATTAAGATGGTGTTACGTATGCTTGGGCATCGTCTTCCACGACGAGCAATGTTAGCAGACATAGGATGGATCAGGTTGGAGAGGAGCCAGTAATGGTCAAACCAAAACATGGCCTCATCAGTCAATGAAATCCACAACAGTTAGTTTATGCCACGTAGGAAGATGTAGACTTCCTGGTTGGGGTCCTCAGGATGGTAAAAAACCAATGGCTGGAAACAATTTGCGATATGACTCAAAATTGTTCTCAATGGTTGGCGCAGATGCATTCACTCTTTTGATTTATAATATCCAGTAAAACTATATAGTTCTTGCATATTACTATTCTTTTTCTCTCATATCTCTATTTTGCATCTCTTTTTACTTTTTTCTCTTGCTTTGGGTGTTAAGTGAAGTGTGGCGACTCGAACCGCTGCACATCTGTGCAAAGTTCAATGCTGAAACCAGTCAGTAAGGATTCTATCCAGTCAAGTTTGCAATATGGACAACCATGCTAGGTGGTTCATCATCAAGGTGCATTCTGAATTGCTGTTAGACAGTTGGAGGCACTCAGTAGGAAATCTTGAAACTGGGTTTCGTGCTTGTTAGCACTTGTCAGTGTGACATATCTGCACAAAACGAAGGACGAGATGCATGACATGAATTACCACTTAGTGTCTAACTAATCCCCTCTAGCTCACTGGATTAAATACTTGGCTATTAGTCAATCATTCAGATTACACAAACAAACCGTGATGCAAAAGATAAGTACACTAACACACTCCTCCCGTAGAACTTGGTACCAAATACTAGTTAAGTGTGTGCGACATAAATAAAAGTATATTTCATGAAATATAAGTAACATAAGGTATATTTACACCAAAGACCAATCAAGAAAGTGGTGACAAGCAGGTGCTTCATATTGGGTTAGACGCCCGACCGAGTCTAGAATGGACTGGAGCATTTGATTTCATTGGCCTGTTGCCTAGAAAGAAAATAAGCAAAGAAAATATATATATTCATTGTAAGAATTAAATATTTTATCCAAAAGAACATATGCATTTCAAAACTCCTTTTAACACACATAATTATTATTTCAAGTTTGCCCATGGATTGATATCAATTATCAGAACAATTGAGAATCAGGAAGTGCTGGATGGATGTTTTGTCCTTTTTCTCCGGGACTCTTCAGCGGTACGCATTCACCGGGCTTCGCATCCAGGACTTACTGATTACAAGGCAAGCTTGTAGACCATTCAACTACTGGGACTCTACTCAATGGTGCATGAATTCTAACTTTTACCACGAGTTCCAAACTAGGACGAAACAGGCGTCCAGTACTTCCTGATTCTCAATCCGTAGTCAAATTTGAAACAAATTAAATCCCTACAAACTAACCCTTAGAAACGCTAAGCTGATAAAATAAACGTTTTTACTAGCTATGAAAGGACTACCTATAAAGGAAAAAAAAGTTGTAACTGTTAGAAGAGGGCTTATTTATTAACGAAAGGATAGAATAGCTCATTAAGCGAATTCCAGATGTCCGCCCCTTAGTGGAATTTGGAAGAGGCATGAGTATGAAAATATGACCAGGCTTGGTACATATATACTGCATTGCTTAATCGACAAGAATACTAAAATGGAAGGATACTGTTACGTAATATATGTGTACAAAAGCTTAGACACTATAACATTGGTAGTATGTAGTTCCATATTAATTTGAGATTAATTCGAAATATCAAACAGTGAAGCAGTATTATTTACTAAGTGACGCTTAGAACATTATTGTTCATATTCAAGGTCCTTTTTGATTGGACACTAGGTAGTACCTAGTGCCATATGCATCTAGTCTTTATTAAGTTGCAGATTGAATTCTATCAGTCACGTTTGTAATGTGGCCAACCATGCTAGGTGGCTCGCCATCATGGTGGACTCTGAAATGTTGTTATAAGATGGTTGAAGATCATCGACAGGAAATTGTGGACCTAGGTTTCGTGATTGTTAGCACTCATCAGCAAGGCGTATCTGGAATTTCTTCAAAGAACTCATGTCCATGTCACCCAGCTCTGAGGATAGAGACGTTAACACTGAACTATTCGGACTGGCGACTAACCTTCTGCAGGACTGTATCGACTGATACAATTCAATCCGCACTGAACATAGGACTAAATACATGACAATAGTTACTAACTAGTATATATTACAGTCATACAGGAGGTCAATCGCCAGTCCGAATAGCTCATCGGTAAAGTCTCTGGCTGTAGAGCTGGGTGACACCGGTTCGAATCGCAGAAGAGACATGAGTTTCTTGACGATTGCGAATACACCTTGCTAACTGGTGAGTACCAACAAACACGAAACCTAGGCCAGTCACGGCTTCCTGCTGATTGCCTCCAACCACCTAATGATAAGGGCCCTACTTACAGTAGTCTAATAATATCAATAAACACATGAATGGTTGGCAAGTATATTTATGTAACGCGTAGTGAATAAGTTAAACTTTATAACAGTGAGGAAATCAAGTCAGTGCATTTTAAAATTTCACATACGAATGTCACGTCTTTCATGTCATACCAACAATCAATATGTTTCAGGATTTCATCATGAACTGAGATCGGTCGGAGGACCATTGGAAAACCTGGGAATACTGGGCACAGCTAGCTGTTTCGTCGGCCTAGTTTGAGACTCTTCAGCAGTACGCATTCACCAGGGTTCGAATCCAGGACCTCTCAGTTACAAGGTGAGCTTGTGAACCACTAAGTCACTGGGATGCGATCTAATGGCCAGGCCATGGATTCCAACTTCTGCTAATTCATGATATGGCGCGACCACTAGTGAATGTCATCCGTAGCGAGTATTTGTCCTCACACCCGACCTGCTTTACCCCACTGGTGATGACATCCCACTAGAACCCCAGGTAACTACCTACCTGAATAGCGGCAGTCACTAGTGACCACCAGATTGATATTCAAGTGTTGGTTTGCAAGGATTTGATTGGTTCCAGGATTTGTGGTGTCGGACACCATGTCGATTTGCAAACCAACACACTTGAATATCAATATGTTTCTCAATTGCATATAAATGATAAACAATTTCAACAACAGCAAAATAGATGGATAAGTATGCGACGTTAATACAATATACACCACAAAAGAAGCTTTAGGCTAAACCACATAGAAAAACTTTTTCCTTCATTACCTAAACGTCTTTTCACAGAAACTTTGTGCACATTTTCTTGGGCAAGTACTCCTTCAGTATAAGGCCGAAGAGGACTTTTCAAAGGACTCGGAACTATTGAATCACTGTCAAATGAAGAAGACTGTATTCGAGATTTCTTGAGTACTCCTTTATAAGAAAGTTGATCCTCCAGTGGACTCATAGAAGATGGTGCACTTAATCGACTGAAAACAGTTTCAGAAGCCTGTATGCATTTCAGTAAAGCAATCGACGGGGGAAAAAACACAACAGAAATACGTATAAACAACACATAAGTTCATTTTAAACAGTTAATGCGACCATACAATGCATAGAATACACTTCAATGCCACAATCATTATTATTGTTGTTGTTCCCTTGGGTTTCGAGTGGAACATAGGGCTTTAACAGCACATCTCCATTTTGTCCTATTTTCTGCTACCCTCGTAAGCTGGCTCCACGATTTTCCATGGTCTCTCATCTCCTCCTTCGGACCACAGCCCAACTCATCGTTTCCCACTCAGGTCCTACTGTGGTGAGAGCTGTCTGCTAGCCAAAATTGTAGACAACAATTTACGTCCCGAATCGGGGTCATGAGAAAAAACAATAACAAAGCTTAACCTTGAGGAACTCACCAACCAATCACAGCAGACTTAACGTGTGCAAATACGATTCGCAGATATATGGCCTGACTTTCTAAGAAACGGCCACAAAGAGATGACAGAATAACCTTCAGCAAGAAAACAACCAATCAGAAGACGTTGCTTCTCTGCTAACAATAACGCTAATAATAATGTACATAAAAATCTATAAATAAATATCTGTTGATTTTCTCAATAAACGATCTGTTGCCTGACCCTTGTCTTCTGTCGTTACACCACCACCAGAGAGATGGCCTGGTCAGACGATTTCGCCCAATGGTCTTCTCAGCGTGTCTGATCCATCTGCATTTTCTTCTACATATTTGTTAAGCAATAGGTTCTTGGTTGGTTCGTTCGCAAATTCTCTTGTTGATACATTTTTCTCACCATATGATCTTCAATAGGGAGCGAAGGTAGCTACTGATAAAAGTCTGCAGTAGCCTGTTGGAAATACTTTACGTGGCCCGCCAAGTTTCTTATCTATATAGAAGTGCTGACGTAAAACTGATGTTGAAAATATGAATTTTCTACTTTATACTGAGTGAGGAATATTTTCACCCTGATTTCTGTGTGTCTGTCTGGATTCAACATAGAACTTACTACCGAAGTGCAGAAGTTCGAGTTCCCACGTTCCAAATAGCACACAAAGGTAGACAAGAAGATGAGTGAAGAGAATCAATAGAGTTTTGACAAGTATAAGAGTGAAACACAACGAGTAATGGTAGAAAGGAATATGAAGGATTACACAAGAGACTGAATACATTTGCGCCATCGACAACGATTTCGAGCCATGTCACCTATTGTCTCCAGCCAGTGATTCTTAGAGTCCCGAGAGCCCCAACCCCGAAGTCTGCATCTCGCTACCTGACTCAGTTTAACTGTCAAGGATTTCATGGATTGATGACATGTTTTTGTTTGGCCACTACTTACTCTTTTCCAACCTGCACCTGTATCAGCTAATAATGCCCGTCGGGGGAGGCGATGGTTCGGCATGCGCAGCACGCGACCTAGCCATCTCAATCTATGTAACTTTATAGCTTCGTCAATTGATTTTCCCTCTTTGCCCAACACTCTACGCCTAACGTCAACATCACTTACCTTATTATACCACCTAACGTGAGAAAGAGATCGTAGACATCTATGATCAAAAACAGTCAACCTTTTCATGTCTTCAACTCGTATTGGTCATGTTTCAGAGCCATAGAGAAGGACGGAGCGAACTGCTGAGCAGTGCACACGTCCCATGGTTGATAGCTGGATGTCACGCCTACGCCAGAGATGGTGTAAGTTAGCGAAAGCAGCCCGAGCTTCTTGGATCCGTGTTGAGATTCCGTCGCCAATGTCTGTTGGTGACCCTGATTTCAGAGTGATGCCTTTCCTGTTCTGGTTCTGACAACCTCGTCCGGGGAAGAAGTCAGCTTTTTTCAAATTCCTCCTTTTGATAGTGGCTGGTGCTGGTGTTGTTGGTTGGTTGTCTTCATCATCTCCATCTTCTCTATGTTCACCTAAAGTCATGTCTTTGCCTCCTACTTCTACTAACCTCTATTGGTTTTCGCCTGTATGTCTTCGAGTTTGTGTGACATTAGACATTAATCGTCCGCTAAGTTCAGATCTTCTAGAGTCTTCTTCTTATCGTTTTAGTGAGTTCTTGTCTACTCGCTCCTTACAGTCTTTCGCATAATCCAGTCCACCACAATTAGAAATATCATTGGCGATAGTAGGCGAAAACCTTGTCTTACTCCATTATAGATAAGATTTTATTTTGATAAATCACAGTGTTGTACAGTAATATTAACTGATGACCACGTTTCGAGCACAATTTATTACTGCTCATAATCATAATCAAGTCACTCACACAACTTTCTTGTTTCATTTATATACATGTGTGGAACTGACTAGATATTTGAATAAAAATCAATACAGGATAATGTACATTCAGAAATAATAATATGAGTGTTATTGATCAAATACAATCAGATGGGAAATAAGACGAGTGTTTTTATAGTCAAAATAAGTAACTTGTTAGAATGTTGTGATGTGTTTGAATTGAAATACAATTTTAAGATTATTTATTATCCTCCTCTGATTTGACTGTTGGTAATAATATCTTCCATATCTCTGGTATGTGTATTGAGTCATTTCTGTTGCATGTGTTGGGTGTAGATTCAATGAACCAGGATTCAGTAATCAATCTCTCTTTCTCTCCACCTACCTATGTTACTCTTTAGAATTTTAACCCTCTCACAACTCCTTATTGTGTGATTGTGTGTTAATGCATGCAGCGCAATTGCTGAGCGTTTTTCTAAATTACTTATCTTCTCGGGGTCAACCATTCTTACCTTAGCTAAATTCTTATGTTCCGACAATCTGATTACCCCGATCTACTAGTTTGACCTATATAGTTGACCTCACAAGTAATTGCAAGGTATTTTGTTTAATTGGCTCCAATCGGGTTCTGAATGTACATTATCTCATATTGATTTTTATTCAAATATCTACTCAATTCCAAACATGTATATAAATGAAGGAAAAAAATTGTGTGAGTAACTTGATATGATTATGAGCAATAGTTTGTGCTCGAAACGTGGTCATCAGTTAATATCACTGTATAACACTGTGTGATTTATCAAAATAAAATCTTATCCATAATGTAGTTACACTCTACCACAGTGCCCAAGTTTTATACTTGTCTTACTCCTGTTTTCACTTCACAGACTTCTTTGAGTTTTCCGTTGTGGATCACCTGACACATCGCACTGTCATATAGCCAGCTGCTGAATGAGGTTGACAACGATTCAGCGTACACATCTCTCAATGCCATCAACCGATTATATATATTTTTGAAATCAACAACTATTTCTGACAAGTGGTCAAATCCACAAACTAAATAAACAACAGCAACAACAACAACAGACAACAATCAGCATAAATGGAAGGAACCTGAAAGAAACAACCTCCTTTACCTACCTGGGAAGCATCGTTTCAACTACAGGTGGAACTGACGAGGATATCAAAGCAAGAATCGGAAAAGCAAGACAAGCTTTCACTACTCTCAAGTCTGTGTGGAGGTCAACAGCACTCAGCATAAAAATAAAATAGGATCCAGATTTTCAACTCCAATGTGAAGTCAGTGCTACTATACGGATCAGAGACTTGGCGCGTCATAAAGAGCATCTCAACAAACAAACAGTTGTCTTCGCTCAATACTCAAGATCAGATGGCCGGCCAGAAAAGATCAGCAACAGAGATCTCTGGGAGCAAACCAACCAGGAACCGATTGTGAAACAAATAGGCAGGAAGAAATGGAGATGGATTGGCCATACTCTGAGGAAACCATCAAGTGACATCACTAGACAAGCCATCGCTCGAGTGGAACCCGAAAGGGAAGCGGCGAGTTGGTCGTCAGTGCAAAGGTGACTTGGAGGAGGTCATGTGAAGAGGAGATGAAAACGTGTGGGCAGACTTGGAGCCAGGTGAAAACTCTAGCAGAGAACCGAACGCAATGGAGACGCACGGCTGAAGCCCTATGTTCCTCTAGGAATTAAAGGAAACAATAATAATAATAATATAAAAATAAAAGTCAAACCACTGAATACTTACATGGCGCTTTAAAGGTGTTTTTACTCTGGCTGATTGTTGAGAATTTTTACCCGACATACCAAATTGTCTAACCACTTTGAAATCTAAAGATTCTTCAGTTGAACTAAACATATCTTCAGAAGCAGATGCTGATAGACGAGAAGGCGGTGAAAAACTGTCTTGATTTAAATTCAAACGAATAAATCGTTGCATAGCAGATGATGGATCAGTTCTTTTAATCAGGACACTTGTAGGTGAATCTTGTCTGTTGACACTGCCACCTAAGCGATTGAATACTGATTCACCAGACGTAGAAGAAGAAGTGGTGTTTGGTCTAGACAAAATGAAGAAAACCTAGTCAATTTTTACAATCTCTTTTCTAATATTAGAAATAAAATGAAAAGTGAAGTAATGAAAGGACTTATCTGTCAAAAAATTCTATATGGAGTATTTATAAGCAAAGAATACACACAGCCTGAGACTGATTTGAAGGGCAATTATTGTATATGATGGTAATAATCAAGCGTATGTATTTTTGGAAACACCATTACCTTGTTGTAGACGTGAAACACTTTATGAAGGTGAAATACTGAGATAAACTGTCAATCGATAATCTGTAAGCATTCTGGAGTATGAAAAAAATAACTGAATGCTGAAAATCAATAAAAAAAAATCCAAACAAGGGTACACTGTACTCATTTCTAGATACTGTCACTGGATGCCCGCTTGCTCACCACCTTCCGTTTATGCTTCCTTTGATTATCTCTCTACTAACTTACCCTCAGTGTTAATGCCAACTTGACTGACTGGATTCAAGGTAGAACTTTGCACAGATGTGCAGCAGTTCGAGTCGCCACACTCCATGTAGCACACGAAGCAAGAGAAGATATTGGATATTATAAATCACAAAGAGTGAATGCATCTGCACCAGCCATAGAGAACGATTTTGAGTCATATCACAAATTATCTCCAGCCTTGGTTTCTACCATCCCGAGGACCCCAACCAGGAAGTCTACATCTCCCTACGTGGCATAAACTAACTGTTGTGGATTTCATTGACTGATGAGGCCATGTTTTGGTTTGACCACCACTGGCTCCTCTCCAACCTGATCCATCCTATGTCAGCTAACATTGCCCGTCGAGGAAGGCGATGCCTAGGCATACATACGTAACACATTTCCTAACCATCTCAATCGGTGTGGCTTCACAACCTCGTCGATTGATTTCTCCCCCCCCCCCCCACTTGACCGAAGCCTAACCTCAATACTGTTCACCTTATTATACCACTTCACACAGGAGATAGAACGCAGACACCTATGATTAAAGACAGCTAGCTGGCCTTTTCATATCTTCTACTTTCAATGGCCATGTCTCGCTCACAGCCATAGAGGAGGACACAGCTAACTGCTGAGCAGTACACACGCCCATTGGTCGACAGCCAGCCGGATATCACGTCTACAGCCAGAGATAGCGTAAGTTGTCAAATGCCAAACGAGCCTTCTGTATCCGTGCAGGGATTTCGTCCACGACCAGCCCGTTGAGTGTGATGCAACTTCCCCAATAAGTGAAGTGTCGACACGCTCCACCAACCACTTCACTCCCTATCTTTAAGCTAGGAGTCAATGCAGTAATGCCAACTTACAGTGAAAGTAATTTCTGTTAATTAAACAAGAAAATCTTTTTCGTGTTATTCAAGATTATGGGTAAATCAGTAGTTGTGTTATACGGCGAAATAATTCTTAAGGATACAAAAGTATACTAACGCAGGTTAGAAGCAATCTCAAACAATAATTTTATTCAGATTATGGGATTTGTGGGGATTTTGGACTAATTCCATTTGTTAGCTTTTCGTCACGAACCAACATCACTGAAACCCACGCAGCACCGGGACTCTTCATCTTTGAGCACACACGACCCCCACCAGTGATCGAAACCAGAAACCTTCAGGTTACGATACCAAGCTCGTTGACCATTCAGCCACACGAGCTGGAATTCAATGACCGCCCTAAATTCTAACTCCTGTCAATTCGTGATATAGCGTTACTTCCTCAACCAATGACTACGATGAGCATCCGTTTCATCTTCACATGGCGGGTACACACGACTGAAGAGTCCCAAAATGGGGCGAAACAGGTGTCCAGTGCTCCATGGTTTTTAGTGATCTCTCTAACTAATATTTATTCGTGATAACATCTAAAAACTGAAAATAATCTTGTTGTAAGCTAACTGATAGAATTTTGTTTGAAATTTCGCAAATTCTAGTCATGAAAACATCAAAGACATAAATTGTACTTTTTAGGAGAAGTTCAGACTACTTATTGACTGGAGCATAATAGTGTCTTAAGCACCAAAGTCAATCATCTAACCTACTAGGTGATCGTAGAAATTTGAAAACAAAGAGTGGAACATAAATACTGACAATAATAGAATACAATTTAGATTCAGAGAATGAATACTATATATATATATATATATATATATATATATATTCGCATTTATAAACGCCACCGAAAGTAAATTCTTATGACCTACAACTAATATCCATAAGATCAATAGTGCCTCGCCTTTGTATAACACAAATTAACAAATACGGGTTTAATAGGGTTACAGCAGTGTCGCAGTTTTGTAACTGCGACAAATAACCAGAAAGATAATAAATAAAAATAAGAGTCACTTACTTAGAGATAATCACACGATAATTATCAGAATCATCAGCGTCACTATCGCCAAAAGTGGATGAGACTGGAGATTCAGTAGTTTTAGAAGGTTTATCAGTCTGTTGTTGTTGTTGCTGCTGCTGTTGTTGACTAGACTTCATAGCTGCTGGAAGGGTAAACAAAAAATACACCGATATATATTTCAACTTAAACATGTAAGTCTATTCACTTTGCAAGGTGTATCTGCTTGTCCTTTCATCTTATGTCTACTGACTAAGTGATGTGAAGTTCAAATAAAAGATATTGTATAACATTTATCATTAATGTGCTCATACATTATTCACTCCAATCAATCTATGTATCAACACTAACCTAAACTAACTGTGGATATCATCAAAGAAACCGGGACTTGTCTGTTTAGTAATTTTGTAGTGAGTCGTATATTAGCTATTATGATACAGGTAAAATCATTACTTCTCAAACGTCTTCTAGAAAATAGTTGAAAAAATCTCATTAGGCTAGGTCTTTTTAAATGCTTAACTCTGAATAACTGGAACCACAGCATTATTGCGAGACCACAAAAAAAGGTTATAAGGTCCTTGATTATAGGTCCATTTTTGATGCTAACTTAGAGTTTGTGACAGAGGACTTTGCACAGAAGTGGAGCAGCTTGAGTTACCACACTCCATGTAGCACACAAAGGAAGAGGAGAGATTTGAAAGGATGATAAGCAGAATGTGAGAAAGAATATGGGAAATAGCAAAGAACAAATATATCTGCGCCGATGAGAACGATTTTGAACCATATCACCAGTTGTCTCCAGCTGTTGGTGCTTAGAATCCCGAGGACTCCAACAAGGTAGTATACACCTACCTATGTGGCTCTAATTAACTGTCGACGATTTCATGGACTGATTCTGAACTTTGGTTTGACCACCATTAGCCCATTTCGGACCCCACTCGTCGAGGAAGACAATGGCTAGGCATGCGTAACACATGTCCTAGCCAACTCAATCGATGTAGTTTCACACCTTCATTGATTGACTTTCCCTCCCTCAATGCCTAGCCAAAATATTACTCACCTTATTATAGCACGTAACATTGGAGATAGAACGCAGACATCTATGGTATAAGATCTATAACCGGATATCATATGTGACACAGACGGTGTAAGTTGGCAAATGCCACATGAGCCTTTTATATCCGTGTTGAAATTTAGTCAGCAATCAGCTGATGCAATTCCCCAAAATAAGTGAAGTGGTCAACATACTCAACTACTTCATTCCTTATCTTCAAGCTAGAAGTCGACGTAGTCCAGGCCTGTAGCATCATCTTACCTTTGACAGGATCAGACCACATGCCAAACATTCGAAGACTGATGTTTAAGGTGTTCAGAAGACTCTGTATTTTGTAAGCATCTTCATCTGGGAGGACTATATCATCTGTGTATTCTAAGTCAACGAGATTAAACCCTGGTAACAAGTCAATCCCTGAGTCTCTGAAGTTAGTTAGGGTTAAGTTCATTAGTACATTTATAATGACATTAAACAGAAATGGAGATAGTGGGTACTCCTGACAGATACCACTGGTTGTTATCACTTCAGATAACAACTTTTTAACAAAAAGTCAGAACTATTTTTGCAACACTACTTGCTTTCCGCTTTAACAACATTTAGGCTTAGGGTGCTGTTGAAGAAGAAAACAAATGGTGTTGCGAAACTAGTTTTGAATCTTCGTAAAATACCTACACACATAACAGTTCCATTTTTAGGTTCCCATAGGCAACCTCAAACTATGAACACTATAATGCTTAACACCCAACATCTTTCATTTGTATAAAAATTAAAACTGCGTAAATGGATCAACATCATTTATGTGTATATAATTAACCAAATGTAGATACTTTTATAATCTTATATACAGTATTTTCCATATTCATGATAAAAAAAACACTGACTACTAACGGGTTTAAGGTTATTGGCATATAGCTATGATGTACAAGAGAGATACCATCCACCCACGTAACCACATTCTTTTTTTAATGAAAAATCACTTATGAACTGTAAAGTCAATTCTGCAATGATAATTTTTTAAAATATTTAACTAAGGACAACTTGACAATGTAAAACTTCACATAAAAGTGCAATACTTTAACCTGGCACACTCCATAAAAGTATATACAAAAGTAGAGAAAAGACATGTAATAGAAGTACAAAAAACGAAGATATACAGGAAAGAATAACTGGATGTGAATCAGTTAAAAGTCTCAGGATTTGGACGATAACAAGGAGTGCCATTGTAATGGATTCTGGGTCATGGTATCAACAGTCCTCAACTATTAATTCTTGGCATCGCGAGAACCTTAACCAGCCAGTCTACACCTTCCCATGGTTCAAACCACAAGTCGAGAACTTCATGAATTCGAATTACCTTTTTGCTCAACTTTAAACTCTTTATCAACTTAATCCACCTTTAACTAACACTACTCATCGATTAAGGCAGTGGCATTGCCGGCATAACAAATGTCTTAACCACCTCAGTCGATGGATATTCACAACCTGATTAACTGATTTTCTCATTCTAACTAATATTAGGTCTAATCCAACTATAACTGAATGTATTGCTCCACTTAGAATGACGTTAAGCGGTCTGTGTCTCTAATGTACACGTGATAGATCTCGATCAATACATTCAGGACTCGACAGCTACTGACTAATTGAATTTCAAAATGGAACTTAACACAGAAGTACAGCAGTTTAAGTTGCTGCATTCCATGTAGCCCACAAGGGTAGAGATAGAACAAAAAATTCAAAAGGACTGTTGTGAGCAGTAATGTGGATGAGGAAGGAAGGAAGTAACATGGAAAACACGAAGACCTAACAGATCTGGGAGATTAAAAGCAGAGAATGTATCTGCACTATTGAGAAAGACTCTATAAAAACATCAAAAATAGTCTCAAGCCGTTGGTTCTTAGAGTCTCAAAGACCCCAACCAGCTACACCCACGACCTCATTGGGACCAAATGACATTTTTTTAAAAGATATTTTCCGTGCAAAATGGAGCTCAGAGACAATACGTAACTGATGTTCAAAAAATATAATAGCTAGACGCATTAACTCACTTTTCTGTTTGATGGATGCAAGAATCTTCTGCGTTTTTGGTGTTGTTCCTTTTGGCATCTTGACAATATATTTACCCTCAATTTTAGGATCCATTCGACGTCGCGCTGGGACCACAGAAATAACATCTAAAACTTTACTAAGTAAAGTCTGATCGCATACCTTTGGGCAGTGGCTTTTTATCTTCAGATGAAGAATCTTTAGATGTGGTTGAAGTGACAACAGGTACCGGTGCAACTGACACCTATGCTTAATAATTGGGTCACAAAACAAACTTACTTCATGCCTCATTTTCTTACACTGTTTCAGTATAGAGATTATATCACCAATAACTGTGATCCCCATGTCTTTGAGATGATCTTTGTCAAGATCAGCTAGCACTGTATGGTTAATACGGTGTTCAACAAAAATGGCAGCATAAGTCTCTCGAACTTTGGGTGGAACACCAGCAGCCTCAAAAAATTCAATCCATTCACCCAAATCTGAAAAGACATTGCGTGGCATTCAAAGTGAATTAGAACATGTACATATTCGGAGAATTAATAATTATCCATTCGATATCGATAGTTGCACATTAGGGTCGAATAGAGGGGATGTTATGGAGACCACTATCACATGACGCTGATCATCCTTAGCATGGGCATTCGCATGAGCAATGAAAAGGCATTACTTTATACTCAGAAAAATTTGAATCTGTAGTCATCCTGATCATAGCGTGGCATGTCCCAAGCTTACAACAATTCTAATCTTATTCTAACCTATGCGTCGATAATGCCTTTTTATGGTAAATGAAAATTTTTTCAACCCACTATGTTCTTAAATAACGCTGGTCGTGCTTAAAAAGAGAGCTGGGTGCTGAATTAATGCGACAAAATCTTAAAAAAAGATCGGCATCTGAAATAATGCCTTCAATGCTGAAAATAAGCACTGCATGCCTAATTATGTGCTGAATACGTGCTGAGAAGGCTAGAATTAAGCTGAAAAAATTGCCACTATGTGCTGAATTAGGTCTTTTCGTTCTGAAGTAATGCTAGTCAGTTCTGAATATGTGCTGAGAAGGCTAGAATTAAGCTGATAAGGAAACCCAGTATGTTCTGATCTACTCCTGATAATGCCTAGAAAAAGAACACGGTGCTGAATTCGTTCTAGTCATGATGAAAACCAGCACTGAGTTCTAGTCTGTGCCATTAAACAAACCATTTCAGAACAGATTCAGAATTTACTCACTATAGGATGCAAGAATTATTTCAGAATTACTGAGATTTAATTCAGCATTATTGTAAGCTTGGGGTGTTCAAATATATTATATATAAAGACTTCACCAGGGAATGAAATATATCAGTAAAGATAAATTTATTACGTTCCACGTAAGTAGGACTGGAATTCTGTACCCAAAAGGCCTAGTTGTGATTTAGAAGATGGGAGACTCCATAAAACACGTAGAGGGTGCCTGGAGCAGCAAAATATAAGCACACTCCCGGACATATTAGATGAAAATAACGGACTTATCGGAATAAATGCTGAGACATGTTAGGTTTAAATTGCTTTAATCTTGTTTACACAGCAGCTATGAGTATATACACGCTGTGATTTCTACATAAAAAGTTCAATCATAGTTGGAATGGTAGCATACCTTCAGGCAAAAACATGAAGCAGAAACTAGAATTATTCAAAAATTCACTTATTTGGAGAGAAATAGTTCAAAATCGTGACTTAGGTACTTATGTTTTTGAAGTTAACGTGATATGGCAGCCCAAAGTTTTTGGGCAAAGCACAGGCCGACAGCAGTAGACAAACTTACTGAAGTCTGGGCTCTACCTGGTGAATTTAGCATAAGTAAAATTGCAAGAAGTGCCAGCCACTTGCAACGAATTCACATACTCATTTATCCTTTTACGCGACCAGAATGTGTAGCACATACCTTTCATTTTTAGCGGCTAACTAAAACAAAAGATAAAAGTATCTATTTTACAAAGTTTTAGAATTTTTATCTTAAAAGTTATGCAAATTATTGTTTTCATACTTTAAGTTTTCTGTTTTCACTGGCGGGCACTTCAAACTCTGGAGGGAGTGTGGACTGTGAGTTAACGTACTGAGGCACTTGTGTCTCTGCTTTTCCCTTTTGGTAATTATGCCATATATGCTTTCTCATATGTGCACCCTGTAATATTTGCTAATGTGTTGTCATCTTTTGAACACTTTAACTCAGTATTAAGGTGGTACTATGGTGATCATGAATAAAGACTGCTGTCACACATCAGCGATACTGTTATTGCTATGAGTTTGACTTCAGCTTTGTATTCACTTTCCCATCTGCGATATGAGTCAGGTTTCATTCTCATTGCAGTTGCTTTCCAACCGTTGGAGTTCGTGTGTTTTTACCCATTTACCTCTCTGATGTGAATATGTTCCTCTTCGCCTTTTTGTTGTTCCCACCCAAGTTTGTTTGCTAAATGCCTTGAACTCAACGCTGTCTAACCCTATACCAAACACTGACTGCCTCCACACCCTTCTTATGTCTGTCGTGATAATATCCCTTAGTGTAACCCAATAATTGAAATATCCTTCCATTTCCAGAACATGAGTTTGAATTCTGTTAGTTCTGCTGCATTTAGAAGGAACGCTTTTCTTGGAATGCCTCCTCACTATTTTCATCGTCGCGTGTCTAACGTATGCTATGGTTTTGTTCGGCTTGTATTCAAGTTTCATTCTCTTGCGCTTACAAAACCTGTGATACCGATTCTAACGAAGGTAACAGGCTGAAATACGCAGAACCCTCGGGAAAATAAAATTTTTAAACATGTGTCAGTCTTCTCCCTTAGTCACTTATAACTTTAGCTGAGACAAACCACGAATCAGTGTTGAGCAATTAGCTCAAAAGGTAGACAATCTGATCCCCCACGAATGTCACGCTTATTCTATAAAATTGCCAATATGATCAGATTCAGATTGTGAGGATAGAAGTCTATTGTTGCCTATGTTGATCCTTGCTATATATCTCTACAGAGATCAGTTTCTCTTTGAAAGCGTTCACCGATGGATCTGTTACTACTGCATCAGGTAAGGAGTTCCAGTCGTTGAACACTGAGAGAATCTAAATTCCACACTTATTTCATTCGACCTCGGTTTGAATACCTTCTTGTGATGACCTCGTAAATGTATCCTAAAGGGAGAAAAAATGTTTGACAGGTCAATCCCAAAATCACCCTTTAATATACGGTAAGCCAAAGTTAAATCACCTCTCCTCCTTCGGTATGATAATGGGTAGTGATCGATGTTTTATGGGATGGATCAATTCGAACTATTAATGTAGTCACCAAGTTGTAACCTACTGTCATGTGTATGCAACCATAATTTGTCTCATCTGTTGTGGTGGCGCCATGACTCACTAGACTATTCATCGCATTTACCTGTTGGGTCATAACCTCACGTATTTTTCTACGTACTAAGATTTGTAGAGCCAGGTGGCGTCACGAGTCCTCATGCATGAACGAACTGAATTTTAGACGCCGAACTTTAAAAAAAGGCTAGCCATCCAAGTTGCCAATCTTCATAAGGTACACAGATAGAAATATATGAAAGGAAAAAAAAGCAGTACATGAAGAATAATGATTGTGTAATGCATCTGTGAGCTCATTAATAGTGAATGTCTCTGTGCCATTGGGAAGGATTGTGAGCCATGTCACCATTAGTCTCCAGCAATTGATTCTTGGCATCTCGATGACATAAGGCAAACAGTCTAAACCTTCACACACAGCTCAAACCAAAAGCCACAGACTTCATGGGTTGATGAAATATTTTGATTTGGCTACCCTTAATTACTTTTGAACCCAATTACTTGGTAGCCAAAATCACCTGTCAAGGAAGGCAATGCCTTATCATGCCTGAGTTCCTTCATAGAATTCAGTACAAGTGTGCAGCAGTTCAAGTTGCCACGCTCCACATAGCAAACGAGAGTAAATACGGGTTCACAACCTATCTGCATTTACCTAACACTACTCTTAAACTCAACATTTCTCTCCGTATTGTACCACTTAACACACGAAGCAGGACTTAAATATTGCACTTGCGTGCTGGATTGTGGGTTGATTTGTCTGTTTACATAGTCCACTCGGTTTTCGTTAGTTGACTTTTCTGTTGCACAACACTGTGTATTGATCGCAACACTTTAATTGCAAGTCAAGTGGATGATAAAACAGTAGAAAGATAGGTGAAAATGTCATACTTAAGGACACTTCTTTTCGCTACTGTACACTTTCCTCTATGGTTTGACATGCCGAAGAGGCAAACAGATATTTGATTTGTAGGGATCTGATCAGTTCCATTAACTGACGGTTACACTATATCTCAAACCAACATGGATTTCCAACCCAGTGGCTGAATGGTAAATGTGCTCAGCTAATAACCCGAAGGATTTTGAGTGGAATCCTGGTTCCCAATGGTGCTCTGACTACAGCTACACAGGTGTTTAAAACCTAATTCATGCATCAAATGCCAGTATACTCATCACAATAAATAGCGTGATAAAGTATTTTGTAACTTTATTCCTTAGGTTCCATGCCTTCCAGTAGGACAGAAGTAGTTATGCGAAGCAAAGAGAGGAAAGTAAATGATAGTGTCATAAAATTCTTCACCACATCGCAAATTAATTTAAGTTTCCTTTTGTTTGTTCTTCCCATCTCATCTAACCAACTGATTTTTTATTTTATTTTAACCGTAACAGCATGTACTTATTAGCTACCTAATACTCTGCTGAGAATTCATAGTCGATTATAAAAATTCATGGAAGGTGGTCAGCCGATTGCTGAAGTTTGTTCATATTCACCTAATAAATGTGCCGAAGTAATTAACGGCAGTATGCATTCAAGTTCAACATCGGATTCCGATTATGAATATCGCAAAAGAAATAGTTATTGTCTTAGTTGTCAAAGAAGGCCTAAAGCTTCTTTGAAGTTTATATTAACTATATGGTATTCTCCGGAAACAAGTTCAGCTATAGCTGGTAAGTGTTTTTATTTATAATTTTCAGTCTTCTACTTTCAAAAAACACCTACACGCTTCTTAATCAGTTAATTGGTATCATCGTCCTCTTTACCGTGTGTACAATGTAGAAATATGTACAGTTCATGATACCTGTCACTCAGCATAGTCTTTTGTAACAAGACCATTTCTAGCTTCTAACTGCAAGTTTTGTAATGTAGATGAAAAGTCTACACGGAGAAGGTATAATTTATTCACTTTCTCATAATTAGTATGCATGATGGAAGTAAATATGTTTAAAAGGACATTAGACACGTGACTCAATCCCCAAAGGCTATCATTTTATTCTTCAGTTCGCTTGGCTCTCACTGAGTTTTGTAAATGCATTGTGCTTGTAGAGCAGCTTTCATTTGTACTAACATTTCTACCATCAAGGTATACACAACTAAATACTTTTGATTGTAGGCAGAGGCATTATTAACTTATAACCTAACATAACTGCTCATTCATCCAAGTTGTTGCAGCAAATATCTTATTTAGTGGAAGAGATATTAAAAGGTAAAATAACTGAAGGCTGCTGAGTGCTAAAAACAAGGAAAAGAAGACAAAACAAACAAAAAAAGGCAGGATTTTTAAATTCAGTTGCGTCTATATAATGCACTTTTAGCTATGTTGCTTGAAGTCTGTGATCAACTAGATCCCAGCAAGTTAAGCTACATCGACTTAAATCACTTAGAACAACAGTCAGTGATTTTGTACACAGGTACTTGGTCCTAATCGAACCACTCCTCGCTTCCTTGTAACCTAATTTTGCTTACTCCAGAAGCACGTTTTCTTTCTAGATGAAAACAACAAGAGGGTGTTTGGAGGTAGGTGGAAATGATGATACGCGTAGGTTGTTTTTTGCTAAGTGGACCAAAACAGTATAGTTGCTCAAATCAGAATAGATACAGTGCACGTGGTTGTGCTGTTTCCAATTTTGTAAAAACGAGATAACAGTCGCTATTGTCTTCAGAGCCAAAAGTGGCGAAATTTCTGTCATGTCTTAAAAGCAACCAAGCATATTTAAAGTCCCAGACATTTCATCTATCATATATTTTTGTTTATTTCGTTTCTTTGTGTACGAGATTTCGTAGCACATTTATCCAGGTCCCTCACCGTATACCTTTATTGAGTATTTACTCTAATACTATACCATATTTTGATACACTCCCATTCGTACTGTTTATCATCACACATTGTGGACTACTGAACATTACATCTGTTGTTACCTGATTATGTATTTATAATTATAGATGTGGACATTATGCAATCACATAATTCCACTTCGGAAATTGTCCTTAGCTCTGTTCTTTACAGTCAGTGATTATTATAGGTGTAATTTGCTAATCCTTCCCCTTGAAAATGATTAAAGCTTGTTACTACTGCTTACTATTCAAGAACCCGTCACTGTGTTTTTTCTTCTATACAAGGTGTTATCTTCTATTCCCAGATTATCCTCCTCCTATATTAAAACTAGACAATAAAGTTCTGAATCTCGTAGGCTGAATAGTTTTCAAGTTTATTTCATCTCGTTTATAGTGTATTGTTTTTAACTAGTTAATCATAAACATGTATTGTATTCATTTGTGTAGATATTGTTTACATTCGACATAAGTGTTTATGTAATCTATATTTTTTATTGTTTTAAAAAGAGTTAACAGGTTTTCATTACATTTCTTTTCCCTTTCCTTTCAGAGGCTATGTCTTCTGCTTATACTGAAGTACAGTTACAGGAGATTGTTTCCAGTTCAACCAAAGATATATTACAACTAGCTGAGAAACACTTTGCGGATCTTAGAATATAGTGTTTATCTACTGGTTTGTTTTTTCCTTTCTTCATACTCCTTCTCTTTTCCCTTCTTCTCTTTCGTCTTTTCCCTCACCCCCCTCCACTATCTATCATCTTTGTTTGTTTTTCTGTTTCTTTTTGTCAAATCAGAGTTTCGTGTTTTCACCCTATTCAACAAGATCAAAATGTTCTTCAATTAATTCATACTTTTAAAAATTGTATATTTTGTTAATTCATGTCCGTTTTTTGTTTGTTTGTGCATTCGTTGGCGCTTGATTAAAAAAATGATTGTATAAGTTAACTTATGAGTGTGAGTATTTGTGTACATAGACTATTTCTTCCATCAGCGACAATTAGCTCAGACGACGACAACAACAACAAGTGATGCAGACAATTTTTCGTATATCAATAAGCATAAACTATATCTCATGTTCATGATATATATGTGTGTGTAGCAGTAAGGGAAATAAATAATCGAATGTATTGTTATCTATTCATTTTGATGATGGGATAATAAATATACGTTTTTTGGGGATAAAGTGTGTTAATCAGTGTTTGTCATTTCTTAAGATTTGTTAAACTGTTTTCGCGTATAGGATGAATAAAGGTTTTACTTTAGCACCATTATTTTATCGATTATTTAAATTATATTTATGCTGGGGGGCGGGGTGAGGTGAGGAATTGATACTGCTGGGATTTCAGTTTATTCCACTACCACCTTCATGCGTAGATACAGCTTCTTTTGCTTTATATCAAACCAGAACTTGGAATCAGTCCATGAAATCTTTGATAGTTAGTCTTAGCCAATGTAGGAAGGTGTGTGGACTGCTTGACTGGGTTCCTCGGGATGCTAATATCCGGTGTATGGAGACTACTAGTGATATGGCTCAAAACCGTTCTCAGTGGCACAAATGTATTTATTCACTCTTTGGGATTCCCCATATCCCTAATGTTCTCCATGTTACTGTTCTTTCTCCCTAACATTTCTGCTAATTATAGTCGTTTTGAATCCTTTTTTCTACCTTTCTGTACTTCGTGGAAGTGTGGCAACTTGAACTGCTGCACTTCTGTGCAAAGTTCTATGTTGAAATTCAGTTAGTCAATCTTTTGCTGTAGATTTTTAAATTGTTACAGGGAATTGAAGTGTGCTTCGGAAGCCACAACATTTGGTGCGTATAATTCGAATAACTTTGAAGACTAATCTTTAGAGATATGTATGCCAGTTAAACCACCAAATTTTCGCTGAAGGATCTTTGTGATTACACATGAAGGTTATGATATGTTGTAACAATCAATAAACGTGTGTAGATATGTGTTCTCTACCTCAGAACTAAGTCAAACATCGCTTTTAGTTGTATGTTGATAATCTGGTTTACGAGTTGAGAAAGAAACACGAGAAAACCAGGAAGAAAGGTATTTATCATATCTTCACCCTCTGACAGATTCCAGGACGTATCGGCGTCCAGTGGTTGCCATATTTCTTGACCTGAATACAAAGTTCGACTCCGTCGATGGAGATGTACTATGGCAGTGTTTGGCTCTGAAGGGAGTGCCGAGTATGTACATTGCATTAATCAAGGTACTCTACTCGAACTCATGCAGCCAGGTAAGGGCTCAAGGAGAGTTGTCATTTGAAGGGATAACAGCCAGAGGTGTACGTCAGGGATATCCACTGTCTCCATTTCTGTTTATTTTCATCATAGATTTACTAATGGACTTAACCCTCAGGGATTGACTTAGAATATGCGGATGATATATTCCTCTCAGGTGAACACCTTGAACATCAGTTTTCTAATGTCTGGCATGTAATTTAATCCTGTCAAAAGTGAAATGATGCTACAAGGCTAGACTGCTCCGACTCCTAGCGTCAAAATAGGGAGAGAAGTGGTAGCGTGTTGACCACTTCACTTATTTGAGAAGTTGCATCAGCTGATTGCTGACTAAATTTCAGCACGAATACAAAAGCCTCATGTGGCATTTGCCAACTTAACTCATCTCTTGCACAGACGTGATAACTGGCTTTTGATCAAAGTGAAGTGTGTACTGCTGAGTAGTCCCCTCCATCCTCCTTTATGGCTACGAGATATGGTCATTCGAAGCGAAAGATATGAAAAGGCCAGCTGTCTTTCATCATAGATGTTTGCGCTCTATCTCCCGTGTTAGGTAAAATAATAGTGTGAGTAATATTGAGGTTAGGCTTCGGTCGAGTGTTACGTAAGGAGGGAAAGTAAATCAAAATTGTTATTGTTTCCTTTAGTTCCTAGAGGAACATAGGGCTTCAGCCATACGTCTCTATTGCGTTCGGTTCTCTGCCAACGTTTCCACGTCCACCGATATGCTTTCATCTCTTCACATGACCTCCTCCATGTCACCCCAACCTCGCACTGACGACCAACTCGTTGCTTCCCGTTCGGGTTCCACACGAGGGCTTGTCTTGTGATGTCACTTGATGGTTTTCTCAGAGTATGGTCAATCCATCTCCATTTCTTCCTGCTTATGTGTTTCACAGTTGGTTCGCTCCCAGAGATCCCTGTTACTGATAATTTCTGTTCGGTCATCTGATCTTGAGTAGTACTGAGTGAAGAAAGCCGTTGATGAAGGTTTGTACTTTGTTTGAAGTGCCCTTCGTGACGCGGCGCTCAGTCTCATCCTTATAGTAAGTAGCACTGACTTCACATTGGAGTTGAAAATCCGGATCTTATTTTCATTTTCATGCTGAGTCAGTGCTGTTGATCTCCACACAGACGAGAGTAATAAGAGCCTGTCTTGCTTTACTGATCCGCGCTTTTATATCCTCATCAGTTCCGTCCGCTTGTAGTTGGAACGATGCATCCCAGGTAGGTAGGTAGATTACTTCTTTCAGATTCCTCCCATCTTGCTGATTTTTGTTGCTGTTGGCCAGGCATCTTGATCACCTCTGTTTCCTGTATGTTCACCTGAAGGGAAGTCCTATCTTTGATGCTTATTCTTTTGTCGCCAACTTATTGCTTTTCACTTGCATATCTTCCAGTTTGTGGGAAATCAGACATAAATCATCATCGGTGAAGTCCAGATCATCCAAGTTTTTCGTGTGAGTTCATTTTATGCCTGTTTCCTCACTTCCCACTGTCTGTCGCATTATCCAGTCTACCTCAATCAGGAAAATCATTGGAGGCAGTAGGCAGCCTTGTCTTACTCCAGTCTTCACTTCGAAGGATTGCGTGAGTCTCTGAAAGTAAATCAATGAGGTGAAACTACACCGATCGATATGTGTTACACATGCCTAGCCATCGTCTTCTCCAATGGTTAATGTTTGCTGATATAGTATCAGGCTAGAAAAGATCTAGTAGTGGTCAAGCCAACACCTGGAATCCTCCCATGAAATCTCTAACAGTTCATTTGAGCCGGTCACATAAAGAGGTGTTCACTTCCTGGTTGGCGTCCTCAGGATGGTAGAAAACAATGGCTGGAAATATTTGGGGATACGGCTCGAAATCGTTCCCAATGGTGGAGATGCATTCACTCTTTGTGATTTGTCATATTCAATAAAACTTTATTGTTTTTCCATATTAATATTCTTTTTCCCTCACTCACTTATGTTCACTATCTCTTTTGAGGAATCTTTCTTCTCTTGCTTTGGGTGCTACATGGAGCGATAGTGGCAACTCGAACTGCTGCACATCTGTGCAAAGTTTTATGTTTAAACCAATCAGTCAGGTTTATGTTATGAATGGCTTAGGTATATTACTAAGGTATAAAATCTTAACCTCAGTCTTCTTTGTATGCTTAGCTAACAATTTTAATATGTATACTCTGCTTTCTGATGATTAGGTAGGCATCACTTCGAAAGTTAATAAATATTCCATTTCACGTTGGTTTTGCTATGGTATTAACTAACATTAACTTCAACTAATAATGACAATAATGGATGCGACTAGAGATCGTTGACGTATACCAACATTCAGAAGAGTTAATCCTATCCTAATCATGAGTTATTTTAAGTATTTGTATGGCTGTATATAAATGTAAGCAGAAAGTATATGATCTCATAATAACCACTTTGTCCTGAGTTTTTAAAATCAAAACATCTGTTTTAGTGGTCTCCCTTAGGTTCCGAGTGGCAAATAGGACTTCAACAGCACATCTTCACTTTATCCTATTCTCTGCGATCCTCTTTAGCTAGTCCCACGATTATATATTAGCTCTCATCTTCCCCTATGTCACCATCGATCGTCCCACTTGTAGTTTCCCATTCGGGTTTCACTAGAACGATGGCCTGGCGCTCCATGTCACCTAACAGTCTCTTCATCGTGTGTCTGATCCATTTTCTTCTGCATATTTGTTGAGTAATCGGTCCTTGAATGATTCGTTTCCAGAGTTTCATGTTCTTGATCAGATAACAGACAATAAATTGATATAAGAATACAGAATAAGAATTAATATAAGAAAAAGGCTCTTAATACGTTTAATCCTACTCCAAAAATATGGTGGAGATATGTGGATGACACTTTCACTGTGTTAAAAACAGAACATATCTCTAGCTTCTTGACACATATTAACTCACTAGTAAGGGGAATAAAATTCACATTGGAATCGGAAGATGAACAAGAAGAATTAGCTGTAATGTTAGATTGTAAAATTAAACGAATAGAAGAAGGTAAACTTCACATTAGTGTTTATAGAAGCCCAACGCATTCTAATAGATATTTCGATTTTAATTCGGCTCATCCGTTAACTGTCAAGGCAGGCTTAGTTAAGTGTCTGACAAACCGAGCAATAGCACTAAGTAGTACAAAAACGACCTAAATGATGAAATAAAACAGATAGAAGAAGCGTTCGTACCAAATAAATATCCTATAAAATTCATTAGGAAGATTAGAAAAGGCCAAAAGCAAAACAAAAATAATTGTGAAACTAGTAATAATAACATAAATAAGAGAGAATATAAGGCATCTACTCTTTTATACCATAAAAGGAGGGGACATCTGAGACTCTACGTAGGATTCTAAATAAAGCAGGAATTAGGGTGGCATTTAAACCTATAAACTCACTCAGGGAGGACAAGCTCTGCAGGTTAAAGGACCTAGTTGACCCAATTAGACAAAATAATATAATTTACAAATTACCCTGCAATGACTGTGAGGTCAACTACATAGGTCAAACTAGTAGGTCAGGGGTAGTCAGATTGTCGGAATATAAGAATTTAGCTAAAGTAAGAATGGTTGACCCCGAGAAGATAAGTAATTTAGAAAAAAGCTCAGCAATTGCACTGCATGCATTAGCACACAATAGGGTGGGAGAGGGTTAAAATTCTAAGAAGTAATATAGGTAGGTGGAGAAAGAGGTTGATTACTGAATCCTTGTTCATCGAATCTACACCCAACACATGCAATAGGAATGAATCATCACTCATACCGGAAATATGGAAAATATTACTACCAATTAAATCAAGTGAAAAACAACGGAACTATATAAATGATTACCTTGATATGATTATGAGCAATAAATTGTGCTTGAAACGTCATCAGTAAGCATTACTGTGTAACACTGTGAGACTTTATCAAAACAAAACTTATCCATAATGGAACAGACAATAAATTTGCAACAGTCCGTGGATATAATCTACATGAGAAGTCTCGCTATACTATTTGTCACACCGAACTCTTTTGTGAAAGTGACTTTCTTTCAAGTAAATGACACGTGGAGAGTAGAATTCGTATTGTTGAGTGTAATGATGAAAACCCAAATAAGCTAATATAAGTTGAATTTCTAAGCGCTAGAATAAATTTCTACTCTCCTCACACTATTTGGTGAAATCGGGTGTGTCTCTGAGGGTTTTCCCAACATACTTTCTCCTATTGATTATAGGGAAACTTTGTATTCTATTTACGCATAAGATTATATCTATTATTGGAATCAAGAGAAAAATGCTTAAAATATCGAATTTTTATACAATATACATACAATAGGACACTAATGATTTCTTAATGGCTTGTTAA